ATTCAATATGATGTGGTCAGAATAAATAACCATTTAATATTTTGTTGTGCTCATATTTAGACGTCCTATTTTGCAAATGCTGCCTTCCTGAAATTTGGTATGCTTGTTTGTCTTTATGTCTATGGTGTATAATGATGTGATTGTGATGCTGTATTTCTGAGTGGTTTTTTGTGCTGCAGAACAGGAACCTGCTGTAAAACAGCAATTATGCTGAATCAGGCTTGATTTTTAATAATCTTTTCCTGTTAAATCAAATCAAATCAAGAAATGTCTGGACCTCCATCCTCAAGAAAGCTGAAGATAAAGGATGGATGATTGGATGCTGATGGATGGATGAACTGCTAAAAAGGTTTGTATATCAATCACAGTTGCCACATTTCAAAGAGGGTTTGGAAAACCTTCAGATCAGTGGTGTCAATCTCAATCACTAAAAAAATCATGAATAATTTGGGCCAGCTTTGTCGCGTGCTTCACAGGCCAAAACAAATAAAACAAACCATTTGAGTTTGAGCATATTTTATTGTGTCATGTTGAAAATCGAGAAATGTTAGTGCCGTCTGGTAAACAATGAACTCGTTGGGTCCATATCCATGTCCCCTGGTACCTATGTTGTCCAGTTTCTATGTAGTTTTCCCGATAACTGTTCTCTGGAAGCTGTCTCGTTTGGACAGGCGTTTCTGGGAGCGTTCTCATATCTGTAATGTGTACATCATAAAAAGTAAAATAATGCTTTTTTAGATAAATAACTACAAATATATTTCAGATACTGTTACTCAGTATTAAATAAAGTATACCCGTGTACATCAAAGTGATACTTTGGCTGTCTACAGTGGTTGCAGTCCATGTTGGCCGCCCGTGTAGGCTGCATAAATGGCTGTAAATAATCCACGGAGGATGAATGTTTGGTGTTTTTAAATGACAAACGTTCGGTTGTTTCATGGTATATCGTCATAAAATTCAGTATTTTTAGAAAAAAAACGTTACACAAATAAAAAATAATAATTTGGGTTTAGCTCCAGTACCAGTGCTTGTAATTGCATTTTATTTTACATTGTAGCATAAATTTTATCAGGTAAGTTGCTAAACATACATTTAAAAACAAATTCTTCAGTCCATGATAAATTTCCAAACAGTACTGTAAAAACAATTTTAAAAAATCCTTCCCTGTTTTAGTTTTTCTGATTAGTTTGCTGACAATGCAATGGATCCTGGGATATCCTCGAGCACGTAGGATACTCCGTTGCGGCGTAGGTTTTGGAGGTTCTGTTGGCGCCCAAAACTGGGACAGCCCACAGTGCAGCGCAGTGACGTAAGCAGATGACAAATGTGCTGCAACCCCTGAAAAGAGACAGCGCCATTATCGTATTGCTGTATTTGTCCAATAACCTGTATAAGACAACATAACAGCTCCCAACTCTAATCTGGCTTTTGGTTTTGGTGCCAACCCAGAATTTTCACTGACCCCCATTAAAAAAAAATCTCTGGAGGCGCCACTGCTCGTAAAACAAAAAAGTCATCAAAACTTTTAATATTCCTGGAGAATCCTTCAACTTCTCACTTATTTGCTCGGATCAAACAGTCCCGAGATGCCAGAAATAAACCGCATCACCGAAGAGAACTAAGGGATCAATCTTGTGCCAGCAGGAACTGAATCTGAATGTTCATAATTTGAAACAGAATGCATTGGTTTGAAAATGAATTTTACTAAATTGAAACTGAATTTAAAGTTTTGTATCTGAATTAATTTACTTTGAAACTGTATTTTGGTTTATTAAAAATTCAGTTTGACTACTTTCACTTTCAGTTCCATAATTCAGATTTTTGTGTCACATCCTGGTCCTTGAGAAAGCCAGGCAGAGTAATCAAACACAGATCCATCTGATCAATATGTGATCCATGATGTCATCATGTAAATGTAACATTTTCTACATATAGGTCAAATTAATC